GCGCTGCTTGCTACCCCCTAATGCTGGTCCTGACTTTTATATGCAGAAAAACTGTTGGTGTTCCAGAGGTGGGCCGTGGCATTTTTATACCATGTTGGGGGGGCCTCAGAGAGAAAAAGATTGAGATCCCCTGGTAGAGTCCACAGCTCCACTGTGAGAGATACTTTCATCTCCATACCCCATTCAAGGGGACAGGGGAGGCAGAAACCTAATGGACAGGCTAATTCATCCCCATCTCTCCACCTGTCAAGGGGTCAGAAGCAGGGGATTGTCCTGCCTGTATTATTTCTCCTTCACACACCGTTCACTGGCCCTCTTGGGACTAGCTCCATCCCTGGGGAGGGCTCTCGGTGCTGCAGGCTCAGGGGTGCTGGCACAGTTTGTACAGTGGGGGTGCTGAGAGCCATTGAACCAAACTGTAAACCCTGGATATAATGGAAACCACTTCAAGGCAGGAGGTGCGGCAGCTCCCCCAGCACTGCTGGTTCCAGCACCTATGTGCTGGTTTGGAAATAGGCAGGAGTTTAACACCAGAGCTGCGTGTGCCAGAAAGTCTCCCAGAGCGCATCTACCCTGAGACCTTCTAGTGAGGGCGTGACAACACCCCCCACCCCAGATGCCTGCTACTCCCAAAGGGTCTGAGTTACCACAGTCCCATGTAGGGTCAGGTAAAACTCAGGGAATTTTCCTTGTGACAAATACTCGACCAGTGCTCCATGCGCCCTGAACTTGCCTGATTTCACCCACTGCACAGGATTCCCCATTCCCAAACCTGACCTGATCGCCCGGCTGGAACAAGGGGAAGAGCCATGGGTCCCGGATCTCCAGGCCGGTGAGGAAAGGGAAAGCCCGAGAGGCTCCTGCACAGGTGAGGAGTCAGGGAAACTGAGACTGAACCACCTTGAGAGTGAAGGAAAAAGCTGGGACTCCAAAAATGTGCTGTGAGCGAGAGCCCTCAGTTCTGCCCCGTCTCACCCAGGTCAGGGCTGCAGTTAGCAGGTGTCATATCATGAAGGCAAATATTAGTCACAGCTTCCCACCCATGCTGCTAGCTGTTGGGAATTTCCTCCATGACTTTCCTTCCCTGGGAGTGTTTGGGTTGGATGTGGAGGCAGAATCCAGTGTCTCCATCTCCCCAACAGTTACTGTGTTGTGTTTTCCCTCTTTGCTATTCCCCTTTCTGTCCTTTCTCCCCGGCACAGGCAGTGACTCCTGTCTGGATTCTCTCTCTCCCAGCAGGTGATAGGACAGTGAGTGAGAGAATGGAGGAGAATCAGCAGGAGGAAGTTCCTGGGAAAGTGGAATCGCAGGAGTTGGTTTTGAGAAGAGCTAAAGAGAATTTTTCCCAGTGCTTGGAACAGGGAAATGCCTTGGGAGATCGACACAGATCAGAAATGCAGCTGGGAAACTATCCTGGGAAGAAACTGGATGAATCTATTGAACGTGGCAGAGGATGCAAGGATCCCAAGGAAACTACAGTACAGCAGACAAGTCACAATGAAGAGAAACCTTACAAATGCCTTGACTGTGGGAAAAGTTTCCGTTTCAGTGCAAGCCTTATTAAACATTGGAGAACCCACACAGGAGAGAAGTCCTATAAATGCTTAGAGTGTGGGAAAAGTTTCAGTGAGAAGTCAAACTTTATTACGCACCAGAGACTGCACATAGGAGAGAAACCCTATAAATGCCTGGAGTGCGGAAAAAGATTTAGTCAGAGGTCATCGCTTATGACACATTACAGATCCCACACAGGAGAGAAGCCCTATAAATGCTTAGACTGTGGGAAAAGCTTCAGTAAGAAGCCATGTCTTCTTATACACCAGAGACTGCACACAGGAGAGAGACCATATAAATGCCTTGAGTGTGGGAAAAGTTTTAGTCAGAATTCACACCTTACTGCACATCAGACACTGCACACAGGAGAGAGACCCTATAGATGCCGTGAGTGTGGAAAAAGTTTTAGCAAAAGTTCATCCCTTATTCAACATGGTAGAATCCACACGGGAGAAAGGCCATATAAATGCCTTGAGTGTGGGAAAGGTTTTATCGAAAGTTCATCGCTTACTAAACATGGGAGAATCCACACAGGAGAAAAACCTTATAAATGCCTTGAGTGTGGGAAAAGTTTCAATTTGAAATCAGCCCTTAATTCACATCAGAAAACCCACACAGGAGAGAAACCCCATAAATGCCTGGACTGTGGGAAAACTTTCAGTCAGCGCTCACACCTTAATAAACATAGGAAAATCCACACCGGAGAGAGACCATATAAATGCCTTCAGTGTGGTAGAAGTTTCATTCAGCACTCAAACTTTATTAGACATCCATGTCTGAACACAAGACAGAGACACTATAAATGCCTTCAGTGTGAGAAAGTTTTCAATGCGGGATCGGACCTTATTAAACATGAGAGAACCCACACTGGAGAGAAACCATATAAATGCTTGGACTGTGGGAAAACTTTTGGTCAGAGCTCACACCTTAGTAAACATAGGAGAATCCACACAGGAGAGAGACCATATAAATGCTTTGAGTGTGGGAAAAATTTCATTCATCACTCAGTCCTTATTAAGCATCAGAGAATCCACACAGGTGACAAACCCTATAAATGCCTCGACTGTGGGAAAAGTTTTGTTGACAGAACAAAACTTACTAGACATCAGGCAATCCACACAGGAGAGAGACCCCATAAATGCTTGGACTGTGGGAAAAGCTTCATTCAGAAGTCACAACTTACTATACACCAGAGAGTTCACACAGGAGAGAGACCTTATAAATGCCTGGAGTGTGGGAAAACTTTTATTCATAACTCAAAACTTACTACACATCAGAGAATCCACACAGGAGAGAGACCTTATAAATGCCTGGAATGTGGGAAAAGTTTTATGGAAAGTTCATCTTTTATTAAACATGGGAGAATCCACACAGGAGAAAGACCCTATAAATGCCTGGACTGTGGGAAAACTTTCAGTCAAAGCTCACACCTTAGTCAACATAGGAGAATCCACCCAGGAGAGAGACCCTATGGATGCCTTGAGTGTGGGAAAAGTTTTATGGAAAGTTCATCCCTTATTAAACATGGGCGAATCCACATGGGAGAGAGACCCTACAAATGCCTTGAGTGTGGGAAAAGTTTTATGGAAAGTTCATTCCTTATTAAACATGGGAGAATCCACACAGGAGAAAGACCCTATAAATGCCTTGAGTGTGGGAAAACTTTTATTCATAACTCAAAGCTTACTAGACATCAGAGAGTTCACACAGATGAGAGACCCTTTAAATGCCTCGAGTGTGGGGAAAGCTTCAGTTTGAAATCAACCCTTAATTCACATCAGAAAACCCACACAAGAGAGAAACCCCATAAATGCCTGGAGTGTGGGAAAACTTTCAGTCAGCGCTCAGACCTTACTCAACATGGGAGAATCCACACAGGAGAGAGACCTTATAAATGCCTTGATTGTGGGGAAAGCTTCAATAAGAACTCAGAGCTCACCAAACATCAGAAAATCCACAAAGGTGAGAGACCCTAGGAATAGCTTGACTGCAGGAAAAGATTCAATTTGACTTCACACATCAGTGATCAACACAACAGAGAGACCT